AAAAAAAAAAAAAGAACAGTAGTAGTAAACAGTCAGTAGCTGCAGTGTTGGTAGAAGGCTGTTTTTTCTACCAAAGTACATTGGGAGTAAGTAGTAGCCCCAGGGTAAACATCAGTTTACACAATATTTGTGTGATTTTTATAAATCTAGCAGAAAATATTTCTGAATTTTTTATGTGTTTTCTGTATAGTTTTCTGAAAATGGTAACCAGAAGAATTTGAAAATTCTAAGCCTGGAGTTAATGAAACTTAGAAACAAAAGAGAAACAAAAATGAAGGTGAGTGCTTCCCGCAGCGAGTTGCTGTGTCGAGATCTAGGATCTGAACAATTTCTCATTTCCTAAAACAGATGTCTCTGTTGTGTAGAATGTGACAGCTAAGCAAGAAGGCATGGAGGTGAAGCTGCAGGTCACCCAGAAGAATCTCGAAGAGTCTCAGGAGAGAATAGCCCAACTTGAGAAACTGTAGGTGACTAAAATGAAACAGAAGTGTAACCAATTCTGACTGTCCTTTCTCAGCAAGTAATTGTTTTCTGAGACTTCACCTTCCCCTGATATTTCTCCTTGCCTCCTTCTATTTGCCGTATTTAAGTGACACTTGAGCCCTATCGTTCTCAAACATTTTATCCTAGCAAATCATATGAATGTATTGCAGTTGGAAGTTTATGGGAATTGAAATCCCTGGGTTGTGGTTCGATGCCTGTAGCTTAGCAGCTAGGGCACCAGCCACATGCGCCAGAGCTGGCGGGTTTGAACCCAGCCTGGGTCTGCCAAAACAATGACAACTACAACCAAAAAACAGCCGGGCTTTATGGTGGACGCCTGTAGTCCCAGCTACTAGAGAGGCTGAGGCAAGAGAATCGCCTAAGCCCAAGACTTTGAGGTTGCTGTGAGCTGTGTCCATCTTCTATAATAATGATGAGGAAAGGTCTCATAATCTAACGGAGGTGGTAGTTAGAGTAAAGTTGAGAAACACCAAGCTTTTTCTTTCATACAGTAAGACGCACAGATGCTCAGTGTTCAGTTTGATGACTGCTGACAGCTGTATATACCTGGGTGACCATTAAACAACATGACAGAGAACATTTCCATCCCTTCAGGAAGTTCCTTTACGTCCCCTGCTACTGCCTTTGAAATGTCCCCAGCTTTGCTACTACTTTCTGACTTAGCTTTGCCTGTGGGGGAATTTTTATCACAGGTATGAGAGAGAATGGACGTGTTTTTTGTTTGATATTATTTTTCAAGATTCATCCATTCTGTCATACGTATTATTACTTCTTTTTATTTCTGAGTAGAATTCTGTATGAATATATACCTTCATTTGTTTACTATTCTTCTGACATTATGTGGGCTGTTTCTAGTTTCTGTTATGAATAAGACTGCTATTAACGTGTTTTGTGTCTTTTTGTGGACGTTTTCATTTCTCTTGAATAAATTTCTAGAAATGGGATTCATGAGTGGAGGGGCAGTATATGTACAATGTTTTAAAAAACTTGAAGTGGGTGTGCCATTCTATACTCCACTAACCATAGGTGATAGTTTCAGATGTTCATCTTCTCATTGACAATTGATGCTGTCTGTCTGTTTGATTTTGGCCTTTCTCTTGGGAGTGAAGTAGTAGTTCATCTGAGATGTTAGTTTGTTACTTTTTTTTTTTGCAGTTTTTGGCTGGGGCTGGGTTTGAATGCACCACTTCAGGCATATGGGGTTGGCGACCTACTCCTTTGAGGCACAGGTGCCGCCCTAATTTGTTTTTGACGTCAAGCTTTCTCTGTGTGCTTAGTGACCATCATATATCTCCTTTTGTATGGTGTCTAAGCTTCTTGTCCATTGGGTCTTAAATTGGGTAGCTTGAAGGAGATAAACACATAAGTAATTGAATACCAAGCATTCTGAAACAAAAGCTTTACGGCACACAAAAGCTATATAGTATGTTGGGTGGATGGGAAGACCAGGAAAGACACACAAAAATTGTATCTAACGCTTGGAACGTTGCAGGTGATGCTTCTCATCATCATCATTCTTATGGCAAAAGTATGTCCAGAAAGCTTTTTCACCTAAATAAAAATTCTAGTCTACTCTTTGCCTATAAATTGTGGATTTGAAAAGTCACATAAAATAATGGTTAAGAGTTTAGACTTTGGAGTCAGTCTGCCTGATACAACAGTATGATACATAAGCATTATGTATGATTATTAACTAAGTAAACTACTGTGTATTAACATATGCCATTTTTATTTAGTGTTTCCACAGAAAAAGACAAGATTGATGAGAAATCTGAAACAGAAAAACTCTTAGCATACATTGAAGAAATTAGGTAATAAGGAACAGTAGCTTTAAATTGGACCTCATTTTGTTGAATATTGATGAATACTTCCCTGTGCCTAAATAGATGTGCTCTTCAAAATAATTTGTTTTCTTGCAGTTGTGCTTCTGATCAAGTGGAAAAATACAAGCTAGATATTGCCCAGTTAGAAGAAAATTTAAAAGAGAAGAATGATGAAATTTTAAGCCTCCAGCAGTCTCTTGAGGAAAACATTGTGTTGTCTAAACAAGTCGAAGACCTGAGTGCTCAGTGTCAGCTGCTTGAAAAAGAAATAGGTATTATAGTGTTTTTATCATTGCTTTCTTTAGCTCGGTATTATACATGCTATTTAAGAAAAAACTGTTATATAAAACAACTTTTTAATATCGTTACCTAAATGGCACCAACAGAAAATACTGTTTTGTATTTTCAGATTTTTTTACCCTTATATTTGTTCTCTTTATTTCAATACAGTGTGTGTCATTTGTCTTGATTGGAATATATACAGTTGTGCAATTCTTGACTTTTCCACCAGGTGGCCATTTAAAATCAGTGGGTATACAGAACTAGATTTGGGAGGTTTTACTATGTAGCATATACTATATTGTAAGTAGTGATACAAACTTGACAGTTTTGCTTTTGTCTTTTGGAACACTTTCTCTGTCATAATGTGCTATAAGCAGTATAATGGACTATCATGAGAGTCTGAGTGTCTCAAAGTTAATGTTGGAATCTAGTTACAGTATTTTTAATGCTTTGCCTTTAAAATAGAAAACCTTGTAAACAGGAATAGAGAACTGGATGAAAATCTAAATGCCGAGATACAAAACTTAAAAGAGAAGTTCATTCTTGAAAAAGAAGAATATGAAAAGCTTCAACAAAAAGAGCTACAAATTGAGTCACTTCTACAACAAGAGAAGGTAATTTACCACAGTATTTTAAAAAAACTTACTTTATGTCATAAATTGTCCTATTTATCAGAAAACCTTTTAAATTGTGTCTACCATTTAATCCAGCAATTCTATTTTTAGATTCCTATCTTGAGGAAATAATTGTGGATGTGCTGAACATTTAGCCACATATCTTTACCACATTCACCACGGGATTGTTAATAATGTGAAAAAATTACAAATAACAGGTGCTCTGTAGCAAAATAGGGAAATTGTTTTTTTTAATTTTTCTAGCATAATCTTGTGTTATGTAGACTATGTAGATATTATAAAAGAGTACCTAATTACAAGAGAAACAAAGCCGTTTTTAAAATCCTGATTACATAAAGAACATTTTATATATCAGTGAGAAAAAAAGTTCACTAAAAAACATGGGCATGTGATAGAAATAGGTGATTCTCAGAAGGAGAAATTCAGTGACCCATAAACATGACAAGATGCTCCACCTCAGTAGGAAATGGAAATAATTTCTCCCTACTTACAAGAGTAATACAAATTAAAACAGTTGGTAATATAAAACACTGGTAGGAGTTGAACCAACAGGTATTTGCATGTTTTATGATTTTTTTAAATCATACCTACATACACAGAGTACACATCACTTATATTCAAGATTGTGGTGGGGAGTAGTGAAAGATAAGAATCACTTTATTTGGCTCGGCGCCTATAGCTCAACCGGCTAAGGCACCAGCCACGTACACCTAAGGTGGCGGGTTCGAATCCCCAGCTCGGACCCGCCAAACAACAATGACGGCTGCAACCAAAAAAAAAAAATAGCCAGGCGTTGTGGCGGGTGCCTGTGATCCCAGCTACTTGGGAGGCGGAGGCAGGAGACTCACTTGAGCCCAGGAGTTGGAGGTTACTGTGAGCTGTAATGCCACGGCACTCTACCCAGGGGGACAGCTTGAGTCTCTGTCTCAAAAAAAAAAAAAAAAGATTCACTTTATTTGTAAATGTTAGGATTTTTTCATAGTGATGATGTATTTGCATATTATTTAACTTAAGAAAATATTTTCATATAACTTTGAAATCACAATATGCTTTATATAATATGTGAGAAAAGTATATCAAAATATGTATAAAAGCCACTTTTAAAATAGATATAAAAGGTAATTTTAGCTTTATGAGAATTTTGTGAATGTGTGTGTTACACTGAACAAATCATGAAATGGTATTTGCCACAGTGTTAACAAGGTATAGGATATAATGCATGAAAGAATGAATTTATCTCTGTGTTGCTACAAGTTTCATACTTAATTATTTGTATGATACTTGTCTCTTAGTAAAACATCACAATCTCATTTTTAATTATTTTGATGGTTTTCTGTTTGAATATAGGAATTATCTTCTAGTCTTCAGCAGAAGCTATGTTCTTTTCAAGAAGAAATAATTAAAGAGAAGAATCTCTTTGAGGAAGAATTAAAACAAACCCTGGACGAGCTTGATAAATTACAGCAGAAGGAGGAACAAGCCGAAAGGCTGGTCAAGCAGTTGGACGAAGAAACAAAATTTAGAGCTGAAGAACTTAAACTCCTAGAAGAAAAGCTGAAGGGGTTTGTAATGATAGGCTTCACATTTGTGTGTGACTTCAGATGCTCAAAGTATTTTTTTTTTTTTGAGACAGAGCCTCAAGCTATCCTCCTGGGTAGAGTGCCATGGCATCACCCTCACAGCAACCTCCAACTCCTGGGCTCAAGCGAGTCTCTTGCCTCCGCTTCCCAAGTAGCTGGGACCACAGGCGCCCGCCACAATGCCCGGCTACTTTTTGGTTGCAGCCGTCATTGTTGTTTGGCGGGTCCGGGCTGGATTCGAACCCACCACCTTAGGTGTATGTGGCTGGCGCCTTAGCCACTTGAGCCACAGGCGCCAAGCCAGCTCAAAGTATTTTCAAGTACATCTTCTTAAGATTCTTACATGATTCATGTGAGTGTGTGAAGTTGGAATTACTTTACAAGTAATTGATGTAGAGAGGTAAAGTTTATCCGCAGAACGTGCGTGTAAATAAGTAAGACAGCCAAAGTTAAAAGCAGCGCCCTTTTTTTCCTCAAGGCCAGAGGTTTGGTAAACAAATGACCATAGTGTTGTGCTCTTGTACTACTCAGATATTTTCTAAGAATTATTGGACACCATCATTATAACAGTAATAAACTTGAGAAAAACAAAAAATCCGGCCCTTTAATGAAACCATTTCCTTTTTTTTTTGTCTTTTGCATATAAGTTTACAGTGTAAGTTATACCTTTACGTACATTTTGAGAAAGTACAAACACTTCAGAAGTAGCAATCACAAATGGCAAAATTGGTTGGGTGAGGTGCTTGGAATCGCAGTTACTCAGGAGACTGAAGTGGGAGGATCACTTCAGCCCAGGAGTTCAAGACTAGTGAATAATGATGGTGCTTGTGAGTAGCAGCAGCACCGCAGCCTGGGCAATATAGAAAGATCCCATGAGGGATGGATGGAAAGAAAAATGGAGGGAGAAACAATTAGAACTGAGAAACCTTAAATAAAATGTGGAATGATTAAAACAAAGAAATGGAACTAAGAAACATTCAAAAACAAGAAATGTATCATTCCTTGTAGAAAGAGGAAAATCTTGTTTCCAAAACATTATACTTCCTTCTTCATTACATGTATTTAAATTATAATATCCAGTTTGATTCTTGAGTTCAGAAATGCAAATGAAATAATGAATCATGTTATTTAAATCTCTAGAATCTCAACAAAATACTTTCTAACAAGAAATCATGGACTAGATATAGAGACTATAGTAAATGTATTGAAATGTATCTCATACCTGTGTATCTGTCTCTTGTTGAGTACTTTATTATTATTAATTTTTTTCTGTTTTTTTGTGATTAGTAATGCAAATGAACACAGAGGTTTTGTATATCCATGCTTTTCAGGGGATAGAACAAAAATACATTTAGGAGAACTGCAGCCAGCCTTAGGGAACAGCAACCTTAAGAAACTGAGTAGGCTCGGTGCCTGTGGCTCAAGCGGCTAAGGCACCAGCCACATACACCTAAGGTGGCGGGTTCGAATCCCCAGCCTGGGCCCGCCAAACAACAATGATGGCTGCAACCAAAAAAAAAAAAATGGCCGGGCGTTGTGGCGGGCACCTGTAGTCCCAGCTACTTGGGAGGCTGAGGCAGGAGACTCGCTTGAGCCCAGGAGTTGGAGGTTGCTGTGAGCTGTGATGCCATGGCACTCTACCCAGGGGGATAGCTTGAGGCTCTGTCTCCAAAAAATAACAGAAACTGAGTAAATAATACTCTCCAAGAGGGAAGAAAGCTGAAACATGATTTATTCTAACTCAAAGAACTGTGGTCCAGTAGTCAAGAGATGAGGATTTTATTATGAATTCTGTTAACTAGCTCATGATTCTGAGCAAGACAATCTTAGTTTCTTTCATCAATTTTCCGCCCCATTAGATATAAAACAAAGGAGTTTTATGAGATGATCACTAAGGTTTCTTCTAGCTAGCCTGGAAATTTCAGGCTTTGAAGAAAAATCAAGTACAAGAAACAAGTGTGATTCCTCTAGGGGTTTGGGAAGAAAATATTTTTATTACAAAGCCTTTGGTGATAAGTGATTGCTTTTGCTATGGTAGGCATAGTTTTTAAATACCCACACTCAATATAGAATGAATTTGATCAGCTATTCATCTTGTCTGTGTCCAACTTTTTCTGTAAGGGTACAGTGCTTATTTACAGTGTTCTTAGTTCGTTAAGTAATTTCTCATAAGCTTATATACTTATCTAAAAGTTTATCACCATTTACTAATATATTACTTTTTTTAATCTCTGAGATTTGTAGTATATGTTTATTAAGATGACTGAAAACCTATTCTGTGTATGCAAAATAATTCATTAAAGAAGTTATTGAATCTTTGAACAATAAAAATATAATGTGAGTTATGAGAATAAATTCGCAAAGCCCCATAATTCTTCTAAAGAAGGGTATTTTTTAGTTGTTTGATGTAGAGAATTTAGCTTTATTCAATCCAAGTCCTTTTCAACAGATAATCCTTTGCATTCTTTAGTCTTAGGTGCTGCTGTAAGGTTCTGTTTTAGTCTTTTTACCCTATGTTCTGACCTCAAAAATTTTAAAGTAAAGTAAAAGCAAAAGATAAGAGGAAGCCAGTAGAAAAGTTAGTGCATTTTAAGAACATGCTATTAGTCCTAAACCTGAATCTAAGCTATCCAGCAGCTATCCAAAGATAAAGATAGAAGACCCACCATTTCAAAGGTAAAACTATTTTCTTTCTCAGGGTAATGATCTGTAGTTAACATTTTATCTTTGAATTGTTCCTTTTTCTTAGGAAAGAAGCTGAACTGGAAAAAAGTAATGCTGCTAATGCTCAGGCCACCCTGGTTTTACAGGAAAAGTATAATAGCACAGTACAAAACTTAGGGGATGTTACTACTCAGTTTGAAAGGTATTTCTTATGGGCACCATGTGAGCAGGGAGGGGTGTTGATGAAAAATGTGTGAACAAAGCAATGACACAAAAACATGATTGGTATGACTAAATTCCATAATCACCAACCATAAAAGTGCCTTTAGTGTCACCTGGTAATCTTACTATATTTATACAGAAATAATTGTCATCCAATTGATCTTCCCGTTTTCCAGTAGGTGTGGGGATTGTGCATATTTTTTGATTTGTAGTAATTTCATGTTTGGTAGCTGATTTTTTTAATCACTATGTGCATACTTCCTGTACATAGTAGCTTTTTTTTTTGAACTAACAGCAAGTACATGTAAAATCATTAGTATTTACCTCAGAACACTGAATTCTTTATAATTCACTGAATTATAAAAGTCTATAAAGTGTAATTATAATTTTTACCTTATAATGTGTGAATATATTATAAGGTTTTGTTTGTTTTACTTAAAAGTCTATAAAGTGTAAACTAATCAGCTGATTTTATTGTCAGGAAAATATAGTTAGAAAAATGCTTTGACTTTTTTTTTTCTTTTTAATAAGCTACAAAGCATTAGCAGCTGCTGAGATAGAAAATCTGAAACTGGAAAACTCATCACTACTGGAAAAAGTGACCAAGGCTGAGAGAAGTGCAGAGGAGCTTCAGCAGCAGATGCTGGCAGCTGAGAGAGCAAACCAAGACTATGCAAGGTGTGTAGCAGAAATAGGGAAATAAATGGCCTTAGAAACAGTAAGACAATTTAATGATGGCGAAAACCAACCTAGTAAGTGACACGGGAAATTGTCCCATGGATTAAAATGGGTGATCTTAAATTGCAAATCAAGAATATACTCACTTAAGTGCAGCACCTGTGGCTCAAAGGAGTAAGGCACCAGCCCCATATGCTGGAGGTGGTGGGTTCAAACCCAGCCCCAGCCAAAAAAAAAAAAGAATATACTCACTTAAAAAATTACAATTCTTGAAGACTTTCTTGAGCTTAAAAAAAAAAAAAAAAGAAAAGTAATTAAACTGTTGTGAACTGTATAATGAACTCTTTTCTCTCAAACTCAAGGATGCTTCTAGATCTGCAAACCAGGTCGGCACTTAAAGAAGCAGAAGTTAAAGAAATCACCATTTCTTCTCTTAAAAAAATAACTCACATGCAAAACCAACTTAAGGAACAAGAGGAGGACTTTAAGAAACATCTGGAAGATGAAGAAGCAAGGTAATCTAGGATTCAAACCTGAGAGCTGTGTAACGCAATTATGATGTTATTTTTAAAATTAATTTTTTTTTAATTTAACTGTTCCATGCAGAAAATCTGGAAAAGAAAATATAGTGGCAGAATTAACTGAAGAAATGAATAAGTGGCGTCTCCTTTATGAAGAACTATATAATAAAACAAAACCTTTTCAGGTTTGTCAATTCAGAGCAAACTTACTTGTATTTAAGTGAAGAATCACTTTGTTTCCCCTTACAGTCATGACAGTGACTGGGTTTTTCTGCAAGATTACTTTGCTGTGTATTTATGATGCCGATTAAGCTTCCTATTGAAGAAGGCTTATAAATTGTATTAAATTATGCATAAGTCTTTTCCAGTTTTATTGAGGTATAATTAGCAAATTCAGTACACATAAATTTTTTAATGTAGCCTTCATAAGTTAAAAAATAGTGTCTGAGAAGGAACTTAAATTTACACAGAAGGTTCTCCTGATGTGAGCTTTTGACAATTAATCTATATTTATTTGTGATTATTTGTGATATGCATATTTGTTATGATCTTTCTCATTGTTTCTCTAATATGCTGGGGTTTTTTGTTTGTTTGGTTGGTTTTTTGGCCAGGGCCAGGTTTGAACCTGCCACCTCTGGTACGTGGGGCTGATGCCCTACTCCTTTGAGCCACAGGCGTTGCCCTATGCTGGTCTTTTAAAAGAAAAGGATATAGGCTACTTTTGGCATTTAACTAGAGTAAAAGTACATTATCGGCTATATTGCAGTGATCCAGCTGACATACATGAGGCTGGCTGGCTCTTTGCTTCCTTGTTTCTTTTCTTCAGTTTTAATGATTTTTAAAATGAAAAGTAAAAAGTTTAAAAGATTTTTATAGAGAATCTATGCAGAGCCCCGAGAATATGTAAGAATACTCTTTTTTGTTTGTTGGGTTTTTTTAATTTATTTAGTTCTTTTTATAGTTTGCATGAATCTGGTAAGATTTAACAGTTTTAAGTCTAAACTTTATTTGAACGAAACACTTTTTCAGCTACAACTGGATGCGTTTGAAGCAGAGAAACAGGCATTGTTGAATGAACATGGTGCAGCTCAGGAACAGCTAAATAAAATAAGAGATTCATATGCCAAATTATTGGGTCATCAGAATTTAAAGCAAAAAATCAAGCATGTTGTGAAGTTGAAAGACGAAAATAGCCAACTCAAATCGGTTTGTAAAATAACATTTAGGTTGTTGTGGGGTTTTTTCTGGGTTAATGTGAGGGTACATATGATTAGTTTACTTCATTAACATTTGTAAGTTAAGGTCCAACATCTGAGTTGTAGTTGAGTCCTTCACTCAGGAAATGTGTCATATACCCCTGCATTGAACTCTATAGGTGGGAACTTGCCAATCCTCCTAATATTTAGTTTTATTAAAGATATTAGGGTGGTGGGAATAATAGTTTAAACTGTTTCAATTTTGTTGTTGTTGTTGTTGCCCTGGGTAAAGTGCCATGGCATCACAGCTTACAGCAACCTCCAACTCCTGGGCTCAAGCGATTTTCTTGCCTTAGCCTCCCAAGTAGCTGGGACTACAGGTACCCGCCACAACGCCTGGCTATTTTTTGGTTGCAGTTAACGTTGCTGTTTGACAGGCCCGGGGGTTTGAACCTGCCAGCTCTGGTGTATGTGGCTGATGCCCTAGCTGCTTGAGCTACAGTTGCCGAGCTGAAGTTTATAAATTTTTGTAATAAGTGTCTGACTTATTTTAGTGAAACTTTCCTCCATCACTCCCCCTGTGCCACAGTGGTATTGTCCCTCTGATGTTACTACTCAGGGAGGCATAGTTTGGGATGTACTCATAGTCACTCTGGGATGACACTGGCTCTCAGAGGGCTGTCTTCCTCTTTCACTGACCACGCATGGCTACTGCACACCACTAGTTGCTGGCTCATTGCTGTGTTATTTTCAATAATAATTTAGGACATAAACTGCAAATTAATCTACAGATCAAATGCTGGCTTCTTTGTGGGAATTGTCTGAAATCAGTCCTTGGTATTTGTTCTGACCTTGGGAGGGCTCCTCCCAGCTGTCTTGCTTCCTAGTTTTCTTGTACACACTAGCTGGCCTACGTTTTGGCCTGTATCTTGAATCCCCTCCTAATTCCCCTTCACAATAATAGCCACTGTTCTTTAAAGTACCCTTAGGCTTATCTTCTCCCAGCTTTGTTGCTTTGGGAAGAATTAGGAGCTCTCTGTTTCATAGCCTACTGTCCTCTGATGTTTAGCTGACCCAGGCTGGGCTTGAACCCACCAACCTCAATGCATGTGGCTGGCACTGTAACCACTGTGCTACGGGCGCCAAGGCATAACCTACTGTCCTCTGGAGACAAAAATCTCTGAATCTGGACTCTGGAGCTGGACTTGGGAACAGTGGCACGCTTCTCTCTGAATGATATCTCTACCCTAGGAGCTGAGTGCTCAGGGTACCTGTGGGGACCAGGGATGAAGGATAGCCTCAGGTTCTCTTGGCTTGCCTCTTTTTGTCTGGAACCATTATCTCAGGAGGCAGAGCAAGGGTGATCAAGAGTTTCAGCATTTTCAGCATGACATGCCCGAGATAGAGTTTCTGTTCCATGAGTGAGGCTGAGCTGAGGAAAGGATCTCCCACCTCTCAGCGGCATAACCCCAGTAACAGGGAGCAAAATGAGAAGCAGGACGTCCTGTTCCTCCTGGAAGAAAAGCGTCTGACTTAGAGCTGGGGGAGAAGAAGAGGGGCCACGTGTTCTTGGGCAGCCTGGGCAGAGTCTGCCTCTCTACACTGGGAGTGGGGATGGAGGGAGCAGGGGTTTTTTGGTTCAAATAACCATGATCTTATTATTCTTTGCTAATTTTGTAGATTTCCATGAATAGATATTTCTTCTTATGAATAGATATTCCTAGGATTCCCTTAGAACCATCCTTTAACTGGTTACCTTGTTTTTAATTTTTAATTTCACTAAGGGAGGAGGCTAGCAGAGTTTTCATACTGTCATTCCAGAAATAGGTCTCTGCTATTAATTTTAAGTCAAATTTTTATCAGAAAAATAGCTTTGTAGCTATAGAGGGGCAAGAAGATTTAAAAGACTATCTCCCT